TAAAAAGGTGTGTATGTTCATAATGAAATTTCTTATTTTCCTCATTATTGTGTGATTGTATTGTATGTATTTATCATTTCATCAGTAACCAATAATGCCACCATGACTAGTTAATGTAAACATCCACTAGTCGTCACATCACAACTACTTAATGAGAACATCCACTAGTCACATCATGGCTAGTTAATGAGAACATCCACTAGTCACATCATAGCTAGTTAATGAGAACACCCACTAGTCGTCACATCACGGCTAGTTAATGAGAACATCCACTAGTTTGACATCATGGCTAGTTAATGAGAACGTCCACTAGTCATATCATGGCTAGTTAATGAGAACATCCACTAGTCATGACATCGCGGCTAATTAATGAGAAAATTTTAAGTTCATTAGTCCACAACACACAGGACAACACTAAACAGGTACAGAAATACATATGTATACACAAGTTCTATTGGGACAACATGTACAAAACACAAAAGATCTCGCAACTACTGACGTGAACAACAAGTTTTAGTTATTTAGTTCAAATTTATTTCGTGATACCTACAAAGTTATTTCGTGTATAAATTCGTTTATAGATTTCGTGTATAAATTCATTTATAGATTTCGTGTATAAATTAGTTTGCAAATTTCGTGTATAAATTCATATTTCTCATCCCCCAACATTGACCAGACCACAATATATTGAACTGCTAGGGCAATCATAAGGGATTCTAAATTTTCTTGAGGATAAAGTAACGATTTTCCTACGAGCGGCCGTTTTGTGTCATTACGAGCTGGATAAAAATTTCATTTTCTATTTGAGTCTGGGCAACATGTTGCTGAATTCCTATGTGCCACATTGCGTTTGGTACTTCAACTAACGCGGTTCTTGATTTTAATTAGGACCGTAAATTTTATTTCAATTCCTACAAGAACCATGACACTAATGAGAACATTTGGGCTAACTTTCTACTGGAAACAATAGCCGATTGAATTATTATTGATGAAGCTATAATTACCCCGTTTCTTACTGAACTTTAGTAGCAAAGGAATAAAAATTAAAACTATTGAAAAAAGATGCACGAGTTTCCCCATAAACTGTCTTGCCGTCAGGATAACATATATTCGTTGATATATGATTCAACGTTAGAACGAATTCGACTAGGTTCTACTTTAAAAAAAATTAGGAAAAAATTGAAGAATTCTTATCGCTTATAACTCGTTCGACAATTTTTTCGATCAATTAGGCTCAATTATATTTACAGCAAAATTTCCTCTAGCAATCATCATTAAACATAGATAATTTTCCCATAATCGTATCTCATGCTAATTTTTCAATGTTAATTTTCCGCATAATATTTTCCCTACGACTATGTTCTATTTTCGATATATAATCAAGAATAAATAAAAAAATCCGGGCTTCAGTACCTAAAATTCCGACGCAGATTTCTCAACCAGCTCCTCATTAAGAACTCAAGAAGTTCTTTTAAAAAATCATCAGAGCGGAAAAATTACAGCAATTCGGGCGATGAAAACGTAGGAATAAATGGTTAAATATTAAATATTTGGTTAAATAATGATGACGGATGTGAGTGACAATAACCATGACCAATGTAAATATTGAAAGAAATTCCAACGACAACTATGGCAATAATAGATGCGTGAACAATGATAAAAATTGACGATGAAATAAACTTAAATTAATAAAAATACGCGCAAGTCACGGTAGACAACGGAAAATAAAGTAAAATTAAAAAACGGTTATCAAATCAAAAAACCAAGTCATTCATTCAGTCGTTATATAACCAAGTCATTCTTTCATCCTATAATCAAGAGTATCTGAGTTGTGCATTCACCGTTCTTTACGACACATTCACCGTTCTTCACGACGCATTCACCGTTCTTCACGACACATTCACCGTTCTTCACGACGCATTCACAGTTCTTCACGATGCATTCAAGTAAAATTAAAAAACGGTTATCAAATCAAAAAACCAAGTCATTCCTTCAGTCGTTATATAACCAAGTCATTCTTTCATCCTATAATCAAGAGTACCTATCTGAGTTGTGCATTCACCGCTCTTCACGACACATTCATCGCTCGTCACGACGCATTCATCGCTCTTCACGACGCATTCATCGCTCTTCACGACGCATTCACCGTTCTTCACGACGCATTCATCGCTCTTCACGACACATTCATCGCTCTTCACGACACATTCACCATTCTTCACGACGCATTCACCGTTCTTCACGATGCATTCATCGCTCTTTTCGACGCATTCACCGTTCTTCACGACGCATTCATCGCTCTTTTCGACGCATTCATCGTTCATCACGACGCATTCATCGCTCTTTTCGACGCATTCACCTTTCTTCACGACGCATTCACCTTTCTTCACGACGCATTCACCTTTCTTCACGACGCATTCACCTTTCTTCACGACGCATTCACCATTCTTCACGACGCATTGGGCGTTTTTCACGACACATTCATTTAACGCACGTTGAAAGGTGCGAGCAGAGCACGCTACGTTGAATGAACGCATACACATTCACGCGCATTCAAGGCAAGCTTGTATTGAACTTCCCATACAATACTATACTTCCCATACAAACAATACAAACGGAAAAAAAAAATATTTTGAATATTTGAGATAAACTAAATAAAATAATATAATGAGGCGCATAAAACGAAGCCGAACAATTAAAGTAGAATCGTTTAAATCACGAAATTAAAAAAAAAACTTATATAAAAACTTAAATTAGGAAAAGTCAGAAATTTCATTTGCCGCCGTGAGAGTTTCAATTGATTACATTCCAAAACTAAGGTGTAGAATGCATAAAAAACAACTGATATATGAGATACTTTATATCTTGAATTAATCTATGAAATGCATTGTTTCCTGATAAACTTGCCACACTGGACGTGCTCCAGCACTTGCTTGTTCATTGCTTAGGTGGAATATTGGTGGAATATTGGTGGAATATTGGTGGCATATTGCAGACATTCCGAATGCTTTTTTCGTTCACATTCACGTAGCGACATTTGATTAAATTATTGCGATTGACATTGTGATAAATAACTTTTGAACTAAGGGCGTGTCTTCATCATTTTATCAACAATCTAATACAAGATTAACGCCTCGTAGCTGTTTCAGGTATAGAGATAACTCATAATATTTATGTTGTATAGCAAGACGATTTTGAGAATTTCAACCTTTAAAATTTCAACCATCAAAGAGTAAATACCTCCGCAAGAAAGATGATAAATTGGAAGAAGCTTCAAAGTTTCGTTTCCATTAAACTTACGCGAACAAAATGAACTAAAACCTAGCAACAAGGACACCAAGTTTATCGACCAAACAATGATTGAGAAATCATGTTTGATTCATCACCCATCGACATTATTTATAGGCATAGGAAGAACAAAACATTTAACTTATAAGGACCTCAAGATTTGTAGGTCGTAGAAATTAAACTCTCAGAGCCACAACTACAAAAGATTCCATAGGCCTAGTGAAAAAAGTCTATGACTCCCGCATCCTGAGATTCCATAGGCCTAGAGAAGAAGTCTCTGACCCATCGCACCCAGAGATTCCATGGGCCTAGAGAAGCAGATACCGACGCACTTCAAGCAGTTAAACCAATAACCACTTCGACCACAAGGAAATAAATCTCAATTTACTGTATTATTGCGAATAAAATTAAATTCGAAAAAAATTATAAATATGTTATCAGGAAACATTAAAAGATGATAAGTAGTGAACCAAAACTCCTTTTCTCCCACCAAAAAAAAGTCCACGAAGAACCATCATTTTAGTTACAAAGAAAAGAAAGGAATTCAAGAACATATTTCACAAGTAAAGTAGGTAGTTCCACTGAAACCCGATTCATACCACTCAGAGAAATGTATGAAACTTTGTCCAGAAATTGATGCACTTTTTGCTTTTGTACGTGCATAAAGTGAGTCACCATTTGGACACTATGACCCGTTTATTGTTCTGAGAGATACCGACGGCCATCGAGTAACTCAGATCAATTTGCAAGGAAAGATTTACATTAAAAGAACTTGTATTTTCGAAAACACTTTTTCAATTAAATTTCGAAAATAAAAACACTAGATAATCACTTTTTCCGCCCAAACCTCATGGCAATTTCAACTAAATACCATAAATTGGTATTCCAAATAAATACCTATTGTGGTATCTGAGATCCAGCGTACGGTTTTCCTCTTCACAGAAAATAAATTATATAGAATATCATCAACTAAAATATCAAATGTGGTATTTAAATAACTATCAGGATGTTAGTGATGCTGCCCAGGATAGTTAGTAGTGATGATTAGCAATATTTAAATCGCAAATTAACCACGAAATTCAACAGCAAAAAAAATACCGAGAAAATTCACCAGCTTAAAAAAACGATTTCATCGAAAATGCGGCGGATTTTCTTGGATCTTTCCATGCTATTGCAATTCCTGTAGCACGAGATAATAAATCTTACTTTTAACGTTCTGCAAGCACATCAATTTATATATATTTTATTATGTGTTTGTGTTGCATTCACTCTCATGGTTTTCTATGGGTGTGTTATTGATAAAAATATATAATTAGAATCCCATTTCAAAGATTAAATGAAGTGTTTGTGGTCTTCAAGCATATCATTAGTTTAAATTTGTAATTAATATTATTAATTTATATACTTAATGATGTCTTTGTGGTTTGCAGGCACATTATGTATTTAAATTAGTTAGAGGGATTATAATATGTAATGGAGTGTATTTAAATTAGTTAGAGGAGTTATAATATGTAATGGAGTGTATTTAAATTAGTTAGAGGAGTTATAATATGTGTTGGAGTGTATTTAAATTAGTTAGAGGAGTTATAATATGTACTGGAGTGTATTTAAATTAGTTATAGGAGTTATAACATGTGTTAGAGTGTATTTAAATTAGTTACAGGATATTATAATATGTACTGAAGTGTTAGTGCATTGGCATGCTGAGTTCTCACCCTTGACGTCCTCCTCCTCGATGGTGGCGCTGGAGTCGGTGCTCTCCTTCACCTGCGAGCCGTCGCCCTTCTTGGTCACGATGCTCCTGCCTACGAGGGGAGACATGGGGGTGAGGGTGAGGGGTGTGAGAGGTACGGGCGTGAGGGTTGGGGTGAGGGTGTGAGGGTTGAGAGGGCGTGAGGGGTGAGAAGGGGCAAGGGGCGTGAGAGATGGGGGTGAGGGGTGTTAGGGGCGCGAGGGGTGAGGGGCGTGAGAGGTGCGAGGGGTGTGAGGGGGTGGGGATGAAGAGGTAAGGGTGAGGAGNTGTAGTTATTATCGTGCTAGTGAGATGAACATGTAGTTATTATCGTGCTAGTGAGATGAACATGTAATTGTAATAGAACTGGAGAGGAAAATATATAATAGATACAAACACGATCATCTAGAAGCAAACACAGAGATTGTCTAGAAAAAAATCACATGCACTCTTCAAAACAAATCTAATTCTCGTAGGAACCAAGCAAAAAGCAAAAAAAGCTCAACGTTCAGTGGTCAGAAGCATCTCTTAACACGGAGCCAACTTTGATCTCTACGTCCAGGGCAAGAATCTTGCTATTTTCTACCAGGAAAAATCATAATTACGCTCAAAAATCACATTTCTCCAATCAAAATAGCAAAAACACTCTGGTTAATTCAAGAATTTAGCTCTTTTACTTCAATATTTTCATTGCACGAGGAATAGCAAGGCAGTTTTTGCCTCAAAAATGAAAGTTTCTAAGTAGGAGTAGACAAATTGTCGAACATAAGGTAGTTCTTAAATGGATTCTGAAGCTTCATTGTTGAAGGGTTGAATGGGAGCTGCTTTTAAATTGATTTAAATTCAAGATAAGAGGATTAAATAGGAGCTGGTTTTGAAGCTTCACCATTACAAAAGCAGTTTTTTAACATATTTTGAAGCTTCAGTGTTGAAAGCGAGACTTTTTAAATATATTTGGAAGGTTCACGGTTAAAACAGAGCAGTTTTTTAATATATTTTGAAGCTTAAGGGTTGAAAGATCGAAGAATTGCTACTTTTATTAGGCTTTCGACGCTTCAGTGTTTAGGGATCAAATTAAAGAAATTCTTCAACGGCTTTTGAGTCTAAGAGTTCAACGGTTAAATTAAGGGTTGAAAGTTAAATTAATGGTTGAAGAGTTGAATTAAGGGTTGAAGAGTTAAATTAGAGGTTGAACAAGAGGGAGAGAAGCATGTGGTTGATGCGCATGCGCAGACTGAGCACGCAGCGGAACAAGACTCAAGGAGCTACAAACATGACGGGTGACTGAAGTAAAAAAAACTTAATTGAGCTTAAAAAACTCAAACTCAAAAAACAAACACATTAGAAAACATTCAGGAACACAAAACAATCGTTGCAAACCGAAAGCGGAGGAATAAAATGCAAGCAGAGATAAAACTGAGTAAAGAGCAAAGTTAACAAGAGTTTTTAGTTGTTAGGAAATACGTATAATTAATTACATGGACATTACATATTGAAATTTAATGGCAAGGAACTGTAAAAAGAGGTCATTAGATTTTGGCCAAAAAAAAAACGTAAAAAAACGAAAAAAATTCTATCACGTTGATGAATTTCTCATAAAAACATGGAGAAAAAAAATAATTCGTGTTAGGTGACAATGAAATGGGATTATTTATTTGAATAATATCAAGAAATTAATTATTAATCGGTGAAATGAATTGTATTAATGAAGTAAAATTGCCAAAACTTAATAACTTGGAAGCTAAGCAAAAAAAGGAAGTTAAGCACCTGGAATATTCACGTCAAATATTATAATTAACAATAAATAACTTTGCAAATCACATCGAAAAAAAGGGCACTCGTCCGCTAGATTTAGGTTAAGAAAAAATTCAAAGTCAATTCATGACTGAAAAATCAATTGTTTTTTACATCATAAGTTCGGGACCGAACAACAGTTACTTTTCGGGCCATTAAATGTTTTTTAAAACAATCTGACTTGAGCAAAAATTTGTTATGATATGGAATAAGACCTACTATTAATAATCAAAATTCAAAAGAGATATTCAAAACGAAAAGCGCGTTTATGAATTCAAAACAATGAACTCCCGAGAACTAGGAATTCAAACGCGTAATGCGAAAAGGCTTTGAAATACACGAGCTTAAGTTGCAGAAAAAAAATCACACAAAAGACAAAAAAAAATAAAATAAACAAAAAAGAGGCAAACAACTCCAGATCGGAACGGGCTTACCCACTTTCTAATGCACGGAAGGAGGAGTAGATGAACAGGAGAGAAGTACGAAACGATAAGAAAGAGGAATAGAGAACAATTCGATTAGGCAGTTACGTGGGACAGTTTTATTCTTATTATGTACATAAATTATCTCAAATGTACTTTCGCCGAGGTCGCTCGCTACTCAAAGAAACATTACATTCTATTTATTATCTCAAATTACCTCCAATGCAATTAACCTTTATTTTGTTCTATTAATCAAATAATATATATTTGATTTGAGTCCTATGAAAGGAATTGCTACTATCAAATTATTTTGGAACTATACATTTTCGGTTTACATTGAAACTTTTTTACTGACAAGGGTGGAACAACATCGTTCATCAGTTCGTATCGTTCACAATCATTAATACCGTCTGCGTGAACTTTTTTGGGGTACGTTAAGAATATTTTTCAAAAATTCTATAAATTTAATTAGTAAATAATCAAGAATTTTATGTTCGAAAAGTGAAATGATAGTTGCGAGCGACCTTGTATCATCACTAGTATAATCTTCATCAACGATGCTAAATTCTCGAAAGTGTCTACGTATTTAATAAGACAGGGCAGTCCTCAAGATTAAGATCAAACTTAGAAACTTGAGGCACGAATCCAACATTTGTGAGTTATAACTTAAACTTTGCAAGCTTTTTTGTAAAACCAGTAGCAGAACTGGTAGCTAGTTCAAAGATAATCGAAAAATTTTCTCGTGAATTCCAATTGTAACAAATACCAAAGAATTTAAGAATTTAATCAATTTTTAAACTTGAATAGATTTCTGTGAAGGGTGTATGTGAATCTAAGTGAAGTTTGAAAAAAATATGCATATAGCGGCATTGTATTAAAGTTCAAAACTACCACAATCAAACTTAAAATCTATTAAGTATTTTTAAATACGAGAAAATATAATTATAATTTATGAGGAAAAATTAATAGGCATTGTTCAACTAGAAGGTCGTACCTAAGAACTGCCCCGCCGTAATTATCGGGCCACGAGCAGCGGCTTAAACAAACATTTGATGCCTACAGCGAACTCAGCCGACGCAAATAAGCAAAATAAATTAAATTGTAAATTAAATAAAAATAGAGTTGACAATGCCCTCACACATCGGGGGTAACCCATTCGGAAACGAAGACTTCACGAATACCGTCATTACCTTCCAATACCATGGAGCACAAACAGACCAACGATGGTCTCACAATTGTCACCACCGAATACCATCATTATCTTCTAATTGCAACAATTGTTACAGTAACTGAACCTTTCAAAATTGTAGCAATATTACCCGTTTCAATTATTCAAGAAAGGAATAGTATTTTCCCTTGTTTAGATTTGCCGAACGAAATAATACAAACGACGTTTTTAACCTTGCGATGCAACACTCAACAACGCTCAACTCAACTCGAGAAGCAATGACAGTTGAAGGTCTGTAAAGGCATACAAAATACATTTCAAATCTTCACAATAATTCAAACTTTTGTCTAGGAATAATCGACCGTCGTCAATGCTATTCGTACCTATAATTATCGTTATCGATCGTCAATAGACCAAGGGTATAGATATCAGACCTAGCTTAAAATTACGCTCTGCCTTTTATTAATCTATTTTTTCCATTTATTTCTTTAATAAAGTTTGCTTCCAGTAAAATTTCAGGATGTGTTGCTTTGTTTTTATTATTCAAGTTATATTATAGAAGATACTTTTTTCTTGTTAGTACTACAAATATCACACGAACGAGCCCTTGCAAGCACCAGAAAACGACCCCAATAGAAATCGGAAGTAACAAAGACTATGTATTTAAATATTTAAATACTGGTAATGTATTTATATTACCGGTATATATACCAAATATATTATATATGCCAAAGTTTATGGCAAGACGGAGTAAAAGTTACTGTAAGAGAGAAGATTTGAAGAATTATACAGTAAATGTCGTACCTAATACACCACAGTAACTGTAACGATTCCAGAGAAGAAGAAAAAGCTAAAAAAGTTGAATAATAATGAGAAATGCATAGGAAATAGGAGGAAATTTAGAGTTGGAACGTGGCAAGGATAAAAGGAGAATTCGATAAGAAATGAAAATGGAAAACATAAGACCGGAAATTTAACAACAATAGTTATCTTGCGTTATCATCATCAGGAAACATAACAACGGCAAGAACAAGAGTCATCATCCATTATCAACATCAGGAAACATAACAACGACAAGAACAATAGTTATCTTTCGTTATCAACATCGGGAAACATAACGTCAAGAACAATAGTTATCTTCCGTTATCAACATCAGGAAACATAACAACGGCAAGAACAATAGTTATCTTGCGTTATCAACATCAGGAAACATAACAATGGCAAAACCAATGGGTTTTTTGAAACAATTGAGTATTTAGATATACATGAAAAAAAAAATAAGAAAAAAATTTATGGAGAAGAGAACAAATAAACAAATAAAAAAAAGTCAACAGATGAACAAATAACAAAATAATTCAACAGATGAACAAATAAAAATAAGTAAACAGATAAACGAATAACAAAATAATTCAACAGATGAACAAATAACAAAAGAAGTAAACAGATGAACAATTAGAACAAATAACAGAATAAGTCAACAGATGAACAAATAACCGAATAATTCAACAGATGAACAAATTAGAGAATAATTCAACCGAAGAACAAATAACTAAATAGGTCAACAGATGAACAAATAACAGAATAATTCCGCAGCTGAACAAATAACCGAATAATTCAACAGATGAACAAATAACAATATAATTCGACAAATGAACAAATAACCGAATAATTCGAGAAATGAACAAATAACAGAATAATTCAACAGATGAACAAATAACAGAATAATCCAACAGATAAACAAATAACCGAATAATTCAATAGATGAACAAATAACAGAATAATTCAACAGATGAACAAATAACCGATAAAGAGGTACGGAACTAAGTGCGATGTTGCCGCTCGTTGTCTTGACGTTTGGGCAGCGAGTATCAAAACTCAAGAAACTACAACTACTTTACGAACTGAGCCGAGCACGAACTGTACGCAAGCTGGTGTACGGAATCTGGGGCCATACTTTCAAAACTCGCTATAAGTGAACGTACGTACTTACGCTCTATTTTCTTGTCTATGATTGGTGGATTTTGCTTGAAAGGCCGTCAATGATTGGCTGATGAACTTACGATCTCTTAACTTTTTTTGAAAGTATAGCCCCTGGTGTGCAGAAATGTACGCAAGTGTACGCAATATACCAGTATGCGCAGACCCGCATATACCAGTATAAGTGTCCAGTATACAAGTATACGCGGAGCAGTACACACATTACACAAGTAGAACCAAACTAGTATATACCAGTATATGCGTCCAGTATATACCTGTATACGCCAGCCAGTATACCCAGACAGGTATACACAATTATACACACTTCCTATACACCAATATACGTAGACGAGTATACACAAGCACACACCAGTATACACAAGCATACACCAGTATACACAATCATACACCAGCATACACATGCATACACCAGTATACACAAGCATACACCAGCATACATAGGCCACTTGCTCCCAGTATAGGAATACACGTCAGTATACATGGACCATTATACACCAGTATACGCTGGTATACATCAGTATACGCCAGTACACACCAATATACGCCAGTACACACCAGTATACACCAGTACACACCAGTATACACCAGTACACACCAGTATACGCCAGTATAGACTAGTATACGCCAGTATAGACAGTGTACGCGTTCCAGTATATACCAGTGTACGCGTTCCAGTATATACCAGTGTATGAGTTTCAGTATATACCAGTATACGCCGGCCAGTATACCCGGACCATTATACACCATTATACACACTTCTTATACACCAATACACGTAGACGAGTATACACAAGCATACACCAGCATACATAGGCCACTTGCTCCCAGTATAGGAATACACGTCAGTATACATGGACCATTATACACCAGATACGCTGGTATACACCAGTACACACCAGTACACGCCAGTATACACCAGTACACACCAGTATACGCCAGTACACACCAGTACACACCAGTATACACCAGCATACACCAGTACACACCAGTACACACCAGTATACACCAGTACACACCAGTACACACCAGTACAGTACACACCAGTATACACCAGCATACACCAGTACACACCAGTATCTACAGGCGCGTAGATGCAGTAAGATAAGACGCCTACGCGAGCCAGACTCGTTAACGTCGCCGAGGCAGCGCACTCGCGATATTCGGATCAACTTAGCGAGGCTGCTAACTAATTTTTTCTTAATTGAAGCTATTAATAGTTACCGAAATATTCAATAATACGTCTTTTAAGCTCCTGCTTTATTATCTATTTAGCGGTGGCAATTGTCCCTTGACGTGTTGGTTTTGGCGCTTTTAGCAGCTTTTTCTTCATAATCAAATTTCTCTTTAATATAGTAACGTATGGTATAAAACTGAATTAAATAAATATAAGAAATAATAGTTTCTCTCTCAATTCTTTACTATTGATTATGAAGAATTTGACTTTTGATTAGAAAGTGATCACCCAGAATAATCCATGATTATGCATGGTAAGTTTAACACGATAGAAATTGAGACTATAAACTAATAAAGCGAGTAATCATACTGAGCCTTATTAAACTAGCTGGTTCAATTGAACATCAGACTGACACTCATTAAACTACCTGCATCAATTGACCATTAGATTGACACTCATTAAACTACCTGGATCAATTGACCATGAGACTGACACTCAATAAACTACCAGGGTTTACGAGAGTAAACTAGTAGGTATATTCAAGCTTCTGAAGATTTAGCAGAATTGCAGAACTAAGCAAAACCATCCGGGTTTTCTGATGGTTGGTAAGCCTGAGTTCTTTTCACTGTCAAAAGATTTCAAGGAAAGAGTTGAAATTGATTTAAAAAAATTAATTGCT